ATTTTTTTAAAAAAATCCTTACTTTGTTTTCATATAGTTTTGGCTTTGAAAACTTCCTTTTTCATAGTGGTCATCGAAGAAAGCATAATTAGGAAATGAATGCTTCCCTGGCAAGCGCAAGGACCTAAGTTCAATCCCCAGTTCCACAAAAAAAAAAAAGAAAGGAAAAAAGAAATGAGCTCATTTTGTATATCTTCCCACTTTGTATTTACTAAGTGCATGTATTTTTATCTCTTCAGAGCTGTATAATAAAACGCTACTGTGAGAAAAGATTTGTGTCCAAATACCTTGCAACGATTGGAATTGACTATGGAGTCACAAAGTGAGTATATTGGCTCCCTGGGCTTGTAAACCAACCAGAAATTTAGAGCTCCTGAAATGATCTGTATTTGCATCTGTGCACTTATGCACGTCATTTTGAAATGGAAACTTTAAAGATAAGTGGAGAAAGGAAGAAAGTGGAAGAGGAGGTTCACAGTACGTGGTGACTGACCCTCCGTCACCCTTGGGGGACTGAGCTTACTCGTGCTGCAGACTGTTGGGTGAGGACCCAAACCAATGAGATCAGAGTGCAGCTGGACTGGGAGAGGCAGCTTTTCGGGAAATGTGTTCTGTATAAGCAGGTGTGTTTTTATATTGTTTTGAAAGATTCTAACAACTCCAAGTACCAAATGGAAGTTTTTCTAGTAGAGAACTTCCCTTACTGGTTCATGATCTTTATAGCCTATTGGAATCCAGCAAAAATAACCTGGGAAAAGTAAAGTTTAGGTACAAGTAGGGATCTGGAAATCAGAGGGTTGATTGAGCTTGAGGAGGGAAGATTCAACTACTAACTGATGGCCAGAGAGTAGAATTGGGGTAGACAGCCTGCCTCCTGGACAGGCAGCCAAGGCACTCACTGCTGTGGCCTTCTCCCCTTTGTCTTATTCCAGTCTCACACACCTCATTCTCCAGGCCCCAGTGTCCCTGTCTCAGTGCCATTCACCTTGTCGTCTCCTCTCCCCAATCACTTTCTTCAGTACATAAACTTCTCCTGTTCCTTTAAGACAGGAGATGAAGTCCTCAGCACTCCATCTGTCAGGCAGGATCTTTTTACAAATGAAGTAAATCATCAAATTCTCTGTATTATGGTACTTGCCATAAATTGCTTTGTTGTTATCTGTATATGTTTAGTGGCTCCTGTTAAAAAATAAATGCCCTGAAAAAGAGGCTGTTAGTAGAAGTTTTCTCTAATAGGTGCTCAGTAATACTCATTGTTAGGTAAGACAGAGATATTTAAAGTGGAAATTTATGGGTTAGAATAAGAAGGTAAAGTAGAGAAGGCAGGCGGAGGTGGTAGGGTATACTCCCGTAGAATTCAGTTGTGTGGCCGGCAGAATGAGGGCCAGCGGTGCCCTCTGTGTGACCACAGCTGCTCAAGTGAGAGCCAAAGGAACACTGAAGAAGAGCTTTTATATCACCGTGTTCAGCTAACAGCCACAGGGCTATTTCTGATGGCCTTGACTATGAATTGTACAAAGTTCTTCATTTGAAACCCACATTTCTTCCTAGTTTTTCTTTTCTCTTCTTGGCTTCAGAGCACAGGATTTCATCAGTGAAATGGTAGGATACCTTTTAAAGTAGATTGTTTTGAATCAGTATGAGTAGTTTATCTTAGAAATGAAAATTACCATGTTGTGTTATTGGACTGTAATTTAGCAGATTATTCTGTTTCTTGCTGAAGTTTGTTTTAAAGATGCTTATCCCATAATGAGTCAAGAGAATATAACCAAGAACACAACATAAACCAACTTAACCACAGTTAAAATTTAAAAAGGACACTAATCAGTTCACATAGTCCACTAATGATGACACAGACCTCAGAAATGGATGGTTCTTCATAGAGATTCAGATGGCCAGTTGGAGGTGGAATAATAGGTCACTTTACTGCAGCTCTCTCCATTAAGTGGGCTTCCTCTATACAGAGGATGCCAGACTCTCAGGCTCAGTTTTAAACCTTACTTCTAGAAGGGTACTAAAATTAATACCCTAAGTTTATAAATCTCCAGTACCATAAAACACAGAAGAAAGAAACAAAAAGCCCCAGGTGATTCGATTGGTCCAGGTGAGGACAGTTGGTCTTCCCCCAGCACAGGTAGCTGGGACCAGCAGAATGGGATCAATAAGAAGGTGGTGCTCACCTGCACCACAGTTGGAAGAAGAAAGCAGGGTGCAGGGGAAATAACCAACAGAGTGAAGAGACAACCTACAGAATGGGAAAAAGTTCTGTCAGCTGTTCCTTGGACAGAGGACTAACATCTAGAATATACAGAGGGCATCCGAGATGAACACACGCTTCTCAGAGGAAGAAATTAAACAAGCGAATAAATACATGAAAAAATGCTCCACATCGCTAGCCATTCGTGAAATGCAAATTAAAACTACATTGAGATATCATCTCACCCCAGAAAGAATGGCTATCATAAAGAAATCACCCAACAACAAATGTTGGAGAGGCTGTGGGGAAAAAGGAACCCTTCTCCACTGCTGGTGGGAGTGTAGACTGGTGCAACCGTTATGGAAATCAGTATGGAGACTCCTTAGAAAAGTTGGTCTGGAAATCCCCTTTAAACCAGCTATTCCTCTACTGGGAATTTTTCCAGAGGATCTGAAAACATCATATCATAGGGATATATGTGTGCCGATGTTTATAGCGGCACAATTTGTGATAGCCAAATCTTGGAAACAACCAAGATGCCCATCACCCGAGGAATGGTTGAGAAAGATGTGGTATTTTTACACAATGGAGTATTATTCAGCTATTAAGAATGATAAACTGCAAGCCTTTATATTGAAGTGGATGCCACTTGAACATATACTCATAAGTGAGATAAACCACACACACATGTGTAAATATCATATAGTCTCCCTAGTATAAGAACTCCAAAGAAGAAATACAAATAGAAAGATATAATACAAGGAAAGGGAAAGAAAGATCTCAAGGACTAACTAATCAAGAGAGGGAAATGTGATGAGCTAGGAAACATGACAATGTTAAGCCATGCAGTTATATGTAAAAGTTGAGCAAGGCAATGATCCGGAGAATATTCAGAAGATTCTTTAATCTAGGAGTTAATTGGAATGATTCTCACCCTGACTAACTATATATACTGATATCTGTAGAATATACAGAGAACTAAAAAAAAAAAAAAAAAAATATTTCCCCCACCCAAATAAAAGACCAAATCAAAAAATGGGCAACCAAAATGAATAGATAGGGGCCAGGGAGATGGCTCAGTGGAATAAGTGCTTCCCTGGCAGGCGCAAAGGCCTGAGTTCAATCCCCGGTTCCAAAAAAAAAAAAAAGAATAGATATTTCACAGAAGTACAAATTGCCAATAAATACATGAAAAATTGTTCAACATCACTGGCCATTAGAGAAATGCAAATTAAAACAACTTTAGATTCCATCTTATTCCAGAAAGAATGACTCTCATCAAAAAAATCAAATAACAGGAGCCGGGGAGATGGCTCAGTGGATTAAGTGCTTCCATGGTATGCACAAGGGCCCAAGTTCAATCCCTGGTTCTGCCAAAAAAAAAAAAAAAAATCAAATAACAAATATTGGTGAGGCCAAGGGGAAAAAAAGAAATCTTTGCATTGTTAGTGGCATTGTATACTAGTAAAACCACTAGAAATCAGTGTAGAAATTCCTCAAAAAAACTAAAATTAGAAATTCTATTTGACCAAGCTAGTCTCTTTCTAGGCTTCTCCCTAAAAGAGTTAGAGACACTGTATTACATGTGCATACCCATGTTTATTACAGCACAATTCATAATAGCTACAGGTTGGAAGTGGCTGGTGTACCCATCAGCAGATGAATGAATAAAATGTGGTATTTATATACCATAAAATACTTCTCTTGGGGCCGAGGAGATGGCTCAATGGAATAAGTGCTTGCTGGGCAAGTGCAAGATCCTGAGTTTGATCCCTGGTACCATTAAAAAAAAAGAGAAAGAAAGAGATGCTGCTGGGGAGATGGCTCAGTGAAATAAGCACTTCCCTGGCAAGTGCAAGGGCCTGAGTTCAATCCCCGGTTCTGCCAAAAAAAAAAAAAAAAAAAAAAGAAAGAAAGAAAGAAATGCTGCTCTACCATAAAGAAAGATACACTTGAGGCATTTATAGGCAAACGAACGCAACTTGAGACCATAATGTTGAGTGACATAAGTCAGACACACAAGTTTAAATATTGCATATTTCCTATGAGAAATACACACACGCGCACACACACACACACACACACACACACACACGGGAAGGATAAAAGATAAAAAGGAAGTGGAGAGTTTTCTTTCATATGGTTGGGTGAACAAGAGATGTAGGAGAGAGGAGAGAGAGTGGGAAAATTATGAAAGTAGAGCTTCTGTAAATGGAAAGCAGATATTTGAACATAGTTCTTTTTTTTTTCTCCAGAACTAGGGGTTGAACTCAGGCCCTTGTGCTTGCCAGGGAAGCACTTATTCTACTGAGCCATCTCCCCACCCCCTGGAAAGCAGATATTTGAAAGAAGGGAAGGAGAACAATAGGGGATAAAATGCAAAAAATTAAAAAAAAAATAAGATGCACTACATGCATGTACCAGCTCCCTATGAAAATTGTAATCATTATGTGCTGCTAACATATAGTGATACAAAAAGGAAGCAGTTTCATTTTGGGGCAGTCAAGCAGCAGATCCGTTTTTAGGAGGATGCTCTGGTTTAGTTGTGGGTTAGGGATGTAACTCAGAGCTGGACACTTGCCTAGCATGTGTGAGGATGGCCTGGGCTCCATCTGGGGGGAAGAGGAGTTACTTGTGTCCTTTATAAAAGCACAGATCCATGGGCCTCACCCCCGGGGTTCTGATTCACTACATCTAGGGGGAGAACGAAGAATCTGCCGTAATCAGGATACAAGGAATCCAAAACCACACTTGGGCACAGCCTACCTGGAGGGAAGGAATCCCCGTTGTTCCTGATTTCTTCCTCTTGGCTTCTGAATTAAATAGATGTCTTTTAGGTTTTAGTGTGTGAAGTCATTTGTGCCATTCCCTAACTTATAATTCCATCATTTCTCAGCTGCTCTCTCTCTCTCTCCCTGCCTCCCTCCCTCCCTCCTTTTTTCTGGAGGATCGAACTCAGGACCTTGCGTTTGTCAGGCAGGCACTTGTACCACTGAGCTATCTCCCCAGCCCAGCTGCTCTCATTTTTAGGGTAAAATTTTAAAACTGTAAACAATTACCCCAGATCTTTCCAGCTGCTCCCAAGCTGTTGTTGTTGTGTACTCACCACTGAGCTACCTCTTCAGCCCTTCTGTTGTTGGGAAAACAACTGGAGGAACTGTGGCTTCAGAACAGAAAGTGAGCACTCTACACTTGGACAAGGGAATAACCATTAGTAAGCCAGAAGTAGTACAGGGACCATGAGAGAAAGCACTGAAGTCTTCGTTTTCCATTGGCAAAGTCCTGTCAAAGTCATGTCAATGCTGCCTGAGCCTGAAACATGGTATTTAAAGAGATAATGACTCTTAACTTGTACATTTACTATTAATACTCTCTATTTTTAACCTTATAGCCTTACAGAGATTTTTTATTTTTAGTTCGTGGTGTTTTGTTTTGGGTTTGTTTTTTTTTTTAGATAAACTTTCACTTCCTAGGCCAGGATGACCTTGAATTCACTATGTGGCCCAGGCTGGAGATCCTCCTGCCTCAGCAACTCAGGAGCTGGGATTATAGGCCTATACTACCACACCCAGCTAGGGATCTTTAAAGAAGTAATGTTTCTTATATTGAGAAAATATTTATATTTTTTGTTGTTGTTGTTGTTTTGGGGGTTTTTTTGGTACTGAGATTGAACTCAGCACTTTGCACTTGCCAGGGAGGTGCTTATGCAACTGAGCTATCTCCCCAGCCCAGGAAATAGTTATATTTAAAGTTCAGTAATTCTCTTCCATTTCTTTTTCCTCTGTTAAATCTAACAAAAGGTAAATTTTATAATATTTAGTTTTATAAAAGTATAATCCCAAGCCTGGGAGATAGCTCAGTGGAATAAGTACTTGCCTGGTAGGTGTAAGGTCCTGAGTTCAATCCCTGGTACTGCAAAAAAAAGAAAAAAAAAAAGTATAATCCCCATTTTATAAGAATATGTTTGTATTCTATGCATAAAAAGAGGACTGGTGATGTTCATCTGTATTAATGAATACTATTCTGGTTATTAGGGTTTGGGATAATTTTTAAGTATTCATTTTGGGGTGTTTTATTGTTTAAATTATTTATAGTGTCCATTCATAGTTTTCCCGTGATGAATTTTTTCTTTAAAAATGACTGGAAAGGCTGGGGAGATGGCTCAGTAGAATAAGCACTTCCCTGGCAAGCTCAAGGGCCTGAGTTTAATCCC